TCTGCCCCATGCAGTGCCTGTCAGCATCAGCTAACAGAATAGCCCTAACATAACGATCAAGCCACAAATTAGGTTCTATAATGATTTAATATTGTTGAATAAAGAGATTTGAATATAATATTTGTTTTAATATTTGTTTTATTCTGAAGACTAATGACAGAAAATGATACTTATATGTAAAAATCGAACACCAACATTGACCAAAATAGATTATCGATAAAGTTTTTCAAGTTCATGAAGGGGCAGTTTAAACAGAAAAGTATCCTGTAAAAAGGAAAGGTACATATCGTGTCAATGAGTCTGAACTCTTTGAGAGAAGCAAGGTGTTCAGATAAAACCTCCTGCTCCCTGTCAATCCAAATGACTTCCGTGCTAGAACCAATGCAATACAGCAGGTCAAGGTGGTACTAGACTGGATATATCTGCTTGTTGAGTACAGTAAACCTGCAATGGCCTTGTATTCTCGACCACCGGAGGTATGGGCCCACAGGCTACCATGTTCCTTAAACGAGTGGCAACACTTCTGGCAGCCAAGACCAGCCAGGACAAAAGCCTCATCATGGCAAATCTTAGACGTCGTTTGCGATTTGAGCTACTCAAAACAGTTTTGATTGCAGTGAGAGGACACAGAGGACGGTATTATGAGAAAGCAATACCTGTTGATGAACTGGACCTAAATCTCGCACACACCACCAGCGATGAAGACAGGGGTGATGATGTTGATGATGAAGATGAGGAAGTTGGAGATGAGGTTGAGAATGTAGAGGAAGAGGTTTCAGAAGAGTGAGCTGAAAAGAAGACAAGTTTCTATTCTAATTTACTGATTATTATATTTATTGAAATAAACATACAATATCCATTACTCCAGGAGTGATGACAGGATATGAAAAAATGTTGAGTACAGTCAGCATTTGAGCACACTTTCATTTATGTAAGGTATCATCCATATACAGCATCAAATGTTTCTGTAAGTCTTCCTGCACTATATGCGAGATACGAGAAAAGAGACCTTTATCAAGATGAAGTCTTGAAAACTGAGAAAGGATTATTTGAACCTCTTGTCTCTTTGACTACAGGAGGCTCAGGACCTATCTGCACCAAGGTCATAAAGCGGTTGGCAGCCAAAAAAGGTGCCAGCAATAATCAATATGCTCATGTGATGGGCTTCTATCCTTTTTTGAAAACTGGCCACGGGCCTAAATATTACATATCAATCAATTACAATTCATTAACATTACCAATATTAAAAACTATCGAAAATATTCAAGAAAGTATTCTCTAGCCAAAGGGCTCAATATTTAAATCTAAATCTACAATAATGTTGTTGGGCTTCTATCCTAACTGTTCGATGATCGAGGTGTCAGGAGGAAGCAGTTAACAAATACAAATGCTTTGTATCACGTCATGACCCCCATCGTTGTTTCACTACCCCTGTAGAGTTTCTACGATACAGGGGAGCCGCGCACTCGTGCGCGGCGAATCATACAACGTAAGACAAAAAATGTTCACGCTGCAGGTTCATTCCTTTCAACTTGTTTCCATCGTATAAATTTAATGATTATTGACATTATTCCTGGTACCACATTTAAAATGTTATCAATTATTTGTAAAATCATGTAACATGCAAATATTGTATTTTAATTTAGCATTTATAAACCAGCAGACTGCCAGAACAGCTGAACATTTTTTAAATAATTTAAGTGCAGCGCGAGCGTCGTTACATTATCATATTTGGAGGACTTCGCCATATTTGGAGGACTTCGCAGCATAGCGAACTAGCAATCCGTCGTCAATCGTTGCTTTGCTTCGCAGAGCAACGATCCCGACGGATTGACATCGTCAATCAATATCATATCAATTGACTGTTTGTTTATATTTACCTAATCTGCTAATCTATTGCTCGCTTCTATCACGAGAAGCTCGAAAAGAGCTCGAAAAGAGCTCGAAAAGAGCACTGCGCATTATATTAGGATTGGCGTGCTAGGTATTTCAATTGTTTTACGCTCTAGTTCATTTAATATAATTGACTAAAATGTTTTTTTTTAAAATTTTTAAAACTTGCGCGGGGCTCATTTACAGCGTTTTGCCTAATAATAAGATAATTCAAAAATCAATTTAGTTAGTATAGTAGGAGTCAACAAGTCTTTTATTAATTTTTGAAAATTGTTCTACCCACAAACAAAGAGTACGACCTTAAGTTTAAAAAATAAAAAATTTGTTGTAAATGCAATTTATAACTGATGCAAAAAAACATTGTTAATCAATTAAAACCCACATACTGTACATTAGAGACAAATTTAGAGTCAGTATCGTAACTATTGACGGATAGTACTTGCAAAATATTTGTTTCAAGACCGTGATCGACGAGTCCAACTCGGTGCGCGTCTTTGTAGGTTATAAACCTACAACGTAACTAATATAAATTTTTAAAAGTGATAAGATCGGAGAGCTAGTGATCATTCATAAACTTTAGTTTATGAAGACGTACCGTTACTGTTAAACAAAATTCAAACCTGTGTGTCGTGGTAAGTCCCCTTTTTAAGTTATTTATTTTATTATTAATTGTAAATTTTAAGTCTTTGGTCTTGATCATATATAGGAATTCAAACAATATTTCACATAATATAGCAATGACCCTATATAAAAATTCAATATAAAAATTCAATAAAAATCTTTGTAAATTTTATAGAAACCTTTTAAGTAGTAAAAGTAGCCAATTCATTAAGTTATTAATAATTAAAATATCAATATCCTTAATTTAACCTGCAATCATGTATTATGCCATTTTATTTATAATTTTCATTTACCGTTACTGCATGCTGCATTTTAAATCTTGAATATCTTGAAAACACGGCAACTGTCTGGTGATGACTTAAGGTTTAAGGTTAGTAGACCCAGTAAAATCAGGCTAGGTGATAAGAGGTTTAGCAACGCAGCCCCAAAACTCTGGAACTTGCTACCGTATACGGTAAGAAAAGCTAACAGCATTGATACTTTTAAACGGGCTTTAAAAACCCATTTTTTCAATCATTTAGAACATACCTAGTCGTATTTATATTTGTGTTCTTTTTTAGAAAGTTCCTAGAACCTGACCTTAGTTTGTAGATTATTCCATGGGATTTTTAACTGCCATGAGTTTTGTGTATAGTTACACTTACACGGAGTCTGGAGAGACTAGACTGCCATTTGCCATGCCCTGGCTTGTTTTTATTTTTTATTTTTATAACCTGTATCCTTGGCCGGTACCACATGATTGCAGAGTTGGTAGCACATGCTTCGGCAATCTACCTGTACCTCAGTGAACCGGTTGGTGAACGGCAACTTGCTTGCAAGCTGTTGGGTACAGGGTGATGTAGTGTGCAAGTTCCCTTAATTGGGTGCGACAATTATACTCAGGGAAATCGGACTGGGGATCCGTCGGCCTGGTCTACTACCTTGAGCAACTCATTAAATGATTGTGTGGTATTGACGGGGATGCAGGCCACAGTTTGTGTTTGTTGTTTTGATCTACAAATAAAGAAGAGTGTATAATAAAGTTCAATTAATTAAATTCTTTTGAACAAATAAAGGCAACCAATATGTGTCGAGATTATTATTTTTCTCTTATAGTATATTCCATCTGATGTCTGATTGTACCACCATGTCTGTCGTATAATATAGTTTTTAGACGTTAGTGTTACTAATAAGCAGTTTAAAGGAAAATGAGAATTTTTTGTTGGAGAATTCTAAATTATTATAGTTTTATCTTTGTTTGGACAACCGCTCTGACATTAGTAGCTAGTACCATTCTTGGTTACTAGTTGCTAATATGAGCGGGATATAAATACTTTGTTATTATTATTATTATTATTATATAAATTTTTAAATCCTATATCGATATAATTAACAGTACGCTCTTGTATACGTCACATGTGTCATGTGTCTACTGAATGATTTAATACCCTGACAAGATTCAACACCCCCCTTTTTATTCAAACATCGATTCCGATCTTTTGATCGTTCGACTGGCTCGATAGTGGTGCTGCATAATGTATTTTAAGCAAGGTACTGAGTTTAAATTGTCTTTGTGACTATGTTCCTCTCTTTCTTATGAGAACGGTGCATTCTGCATATATACAGTATAAGTAAGAATACGATATCAATTTGCATTTCGTTGACAGTTGTTAGGGTTGTAATATAAATACAGTATGGCTGTAATAATGTACAAATGGTTAATTAAAGTAAAATAAAGTAAAATTTATGGCATCACATCATCACACATGTCTACAAAATATCATCGCACTATGTGAAAAAATAAATATTTCCCCACCAACATTAAATATTTATCAAATACAATATTTAAAAAAATTTATCAAAACATTATCCTATTTTAAAAACCTAATCAAACTTCCCAGTGGAATAAAGATTTATAAATCACTTCTTTGCCACATGCACATAAGGATGAAACCAAAGATAATCGTTATCTTTCTCTTTATTACTGACATAACTGGCTCCCTCAATTCTTACTAAAACTTCATTAGAAACATTCCAAAAAAGCACTCATTTGTAATACTTTTAGAAATCATATCTTTCTTAAATTTTTCTAATTTAATTTTAAAGCCTAAAACTGTCACAGAGTTCTTGACGTCCGGAGGGAGTTTGTTCCAATATGGAATAACTCTATCTGGGAGAGAAGACTTCTGGACATTTTTGATTTTAGTTAAACTTCTACTACATCTTTTGCTTGAAACAAGATTAAGACCGAATCTGCTAATTCTAAACATCCCCAATCCATAATCAGTCAAACCACTTGTTACTGTAAAAGCTTCTATTAGGTCCTCACGTATTCGCTGCTCTGCCAGTGTTGTCAAATTGAGAATTGCCAGTCTAGGGCTGTAAGGAAGAGTACCCACCTCGTCAATCAGACAGGTAAACCGCCTCTGGACGCTATTCAGCTCCAAAACAGTCTCTCAACTTCCATGAGCCCCAATCTGACAGATTAAATCACATAATGTTACTCTTAGCAATGGGTACCAACACTTAGTTCCACTAAGTTCGTGGTGGATCAGGTCAAGTGTTAAACAAGACCAGATACGATGCATGTTGACACGCCAAGGGTGTTGGTGTGGCCAAATCAGGACATATTCAAGCATGGAATACTGGCTGGATTTCCTGCCTCTTTTGGCACAGCTGAAAACCTCTCAAAATTCCTCATGTACTGTAGAACAAAAGGAAAGAATGGCTGGCCAAATGTGTGGTAAGTAATCAAATTTTTAAAATTTCTTACTTACAACTTTACATCCGATTATTTGCATTGTTTCTTGAAAATAATATGCCTTGAATGCTCTGGTAGGATATAAATCAATCCTAATTTGTTTCAGTTATGCTATTTGGGAAAGCTATGCTCAGCGTAATTTCAACATGACATCAGATTTAGCCTGCCTGTTTTTTGAGTCTTGTCGTCACATTTGCATGCCAACAAAAGACACTTCAGCGTGGGATGACAGGTATGAGCAAAGTAACTATTCAATAATAATTACATTGATAGTTGGATTGATAGTTGGAAAATATCCGGTTGAGAGACAAGGACAACCGGATGTCTCTCAACCGGATATTATCCAACTATCAGTATTTCAATCATGAGACTAATAAACAGCGAACTATTCCATCATTTAACAATTACATTTTAATGAATATTGTTATCTCCTTTGCCTACTTAGGTAAATTAAAGCAAATGTAACAAAGCTCTTATAAACTGTATTCCAGATACTCAGCAAATGTAACAAAGCGCTTATAAAATGTATTCCAGATACTCAGCAAATGAAACAAAGCTCTTATGAAATGTATTCCAGATACTCAGCATGCTCATCAGAAGACACAAAGAGCAGGATGAGAGACAAAGTGAGTGTTAACACTGTCCATCTTGCACTTTACATGTACTCTCAGAATGTTACTCTCATGCAGACTCAGAAGTTTTCACTTAGATCAGGTAAATTGGACGAATTTCACTGTTGCTGTGTATTCTATAGCTTATTTTTCGAATCTAATTTTCCGCATAGATACTGAGTATATATTCTGAAAAATAAAAAATCATTTAGTTCGTAACCAATACATCGTGTGCCAATATAAGTGTTACGGTTAATATCTTATCCATTATTCCGAGAAGTCTACTAAACTCACAAAATCTCAGAGGAGTTCCCGACAGACCGCAAGGCTAAGAAGAAAAGTATAGACGTCAGGTTTATTGAAACTTTCCTCTCTGATATTATCAAAATACTATCAGAGCCTGATAGCAAAGGACTCCCTCTTGATAAGGTTTTATAAATGATTTATATCTCTTTAATGTTAAAATGGTTGCCATAATAGCTAATTGTATGGACTTAGTTTTCTCCCAACTCTTTTAAAAGTAAACAAACCCTAACAAACACATTTCAGCAACCAATGAGTGTAGCAAACGTTTCCTCGCTCGGTGTTATGTTTACAGTGTACACAGAGAACTCTATTCGTCCTTTACATGAAGTATTACAGCAACAAGCCCACGCTACAGTCTGCTCCTTCAGCAAGGTTTGTGTGTTGCTAATCTGTGACGACAGGAGAGTGCAGTGTGAAAGAGAACCTTCTTCAGGATTAATACTTGTTGTTAAAAAATGTAATTATGAAAGATGTAGAATAGTGTGATCACGACAGTTGTTAACAACCGGATAGATGCAGCCTCGGTTACCACAGCTACAGGGCCAGGAGTACACTCAATTGCTCCTACCTACTTTAGTACTTTGAGTCGGAAAAAACCGAACATTTTAAATTCCTGTAATTTTATATCCTTTTTGGGGGTTGGAACTTCTACTTCCATCTCAGTTTTGATATTGCCGTACTGTAGCTGGTACTGTAAGATTATTCATATTAATATAACAGTACCTGCTACCTGCCCGTGTGGGTAAGCTGGTGTCTCCTATCCGCAATTAAACTCCCATTGGAAGGCACTGGGCCTCTACTACTTTTAATACTTTCAACACTACTATATAACAAATAATTTGAGGACCCCGAACTCAATTTTGATTCTCTACTGACTCTGCTGATCTGCACTGTTTCACTTTGTAAAAGAAGTGCGCAATGATCGGAGAAGGTGGTTTTGATGATGAGGGTAACAGGTCCTCAATCTCGTTACAGGATGATACGCCAAAGAATGACAGGAATGTTAGCGAAGATATGTTATCCCCGCAACGTTTCACACCTACCCTGAACTCATCCACATCCTCTGAAAGTACTCAACAGCGACAAGGTAACATTCTTCAATACCAGTTTGCCTACATCAAAGACGGCACTTGTAACACCTGTAATGATGTTCAAGCTAATGACACTGCTCTTACCTGCTTTTTGTGTAAATCGTCATTTCATGCTGTTTGTCGAGATGCTGATAAAGATAGGATCAATAATGCTGTAATCTGTCCTCGCACTTTCTTCAAAGCATACTCCGACAGAAACGCAACCAAGGGTGTTAACAGTTCCAGATTTGGGACTTTTACGTTTGTGTGTAATGTCTGCAAGACACACTCTGAACAGAACTCCGCAGTCAGTGCCGAAAGTAAAGTCGACCTGATTGACAGGCGAGTAGATAATCTGACCCAATCTATGGAGGACATGAAGGGTTTACTTATGAAAGTTGTGAATATGAAAACATCTCCGGACAAAACTGAAATTTCTTCTCCTCCATCTCCAGCACCAGTTGCCCCTTCATATCGCTCTGTATTAATCATGTCCAGCAAAACACCAGAAAATCAAGCAAAAGATCACCAAGAAGAAGTTGACAAAATCATCAAAGACAACGCCATTCATGCTGACAAACGGTATGTCAACAAGAACGGGGACATTGTGGTTGTGTGTCCGACAACGGCTGACAGGGAAAATCTTGTCAAGAAAGTATCCCAGCAACTTCCAGAAATGAAAACGCACCAGCCACCAGAACGTTTGCCCACAATCTCTGTTGCTAACCTTGCTGATAATTATTCTGAAGAAGATCTAGAAGACCTGCTCCTTCAAGCTCACCCCAACATTAAGGCATTAAAATCCCAGGGTGAAACATTTTCTGTACTAAAAGTTAAACCTCAGATCAAAAACAGCAGCAAGCATCAAGCTACTATACGAGTTAGTAACAATATCAGGAAAATCATAGAACAACAGGGAGATCGGCTATACATCAGTTCGTTTAGTTGCAAAGTTTATGATCAATTTCATGTAAAACGATGCAACAACTGCCAAGGTTTTGGACACTACAGGTCGGAGTGCGAATCAGAAAAAGCTATTTGTGGTTATTGTTCCAAGAATCATACGTCAGAAGATTGTCCAGAAAAGAAAACTAATAGTCGTATTTCATGCTGCATTAACTGCTCTAAGGGCAAGTATCGGGATGAAAGAAACACACACACGGCATTTGATAGGACATGTCCAGCTTATGTTGCTGAACAGCAGCATCTCCGCAAAACTATCAATTACTACAGTTCAAAAAACTTGTAAGCAGTGGTCTGAAATCCTCTCCGGCGGAGATTCTTGGCTGTTGCTGGAATGTGAGATCTCTCAATAATAAGATTCAACCAATCATGGAATCTATAATCGACCAAGGAATCTCTGTCCTTTTTGTCACTGAGACTTGGCTCACCAGCATGAAGAATGATGTTACTGCTACCATCAAGTCTTACGGCTATAACTTGATTCACTACATCAGGAAAGACTCCGCTAAATGCAGAGGCGGAGGAGTTGGAATTATTTACAATTCAAGTGATTTGAACCTTACTCCTGTGTTTGATAAGTGTGGAGATACGTTTGAAGCAGTTTTAGGCAAATTTCGAGACTCATCGGGTGATACTGTCCTCTGTGCTTGTGTTTACCGACCAGGGTCATTGACTGATGTATTTTTTGAAGATTTGGATGAGTTTATTGGGAACATATTCATGAAATACAAGAAGTTTTTAATCTGTGGTGATCTTAATATTCATTTGGATGATCATAAATCAAGAAACACGGCCAAACTGACTGAAGTATTGGCCAGCTATGGACTGCATCAATACGTGAGAGATCCAACTCACAACAAAGGACATATTCTGGATGTTGTAATCTCCTCCCATCAGATAGTCAATCCAAAGAGTGTCACAGTAGACTCGCACACCTCGGAAATGTTCCCAAACTGTGACCATTTCCCGGTTACTTTTAGCCTCACAAAAACAGTTGCAAGCAATCTCAACAAGAAAAAAGTTATCACATTCAGAAATGTCAAAGAAATTGACAAAAATTGTTTTGCGGATAATCTTGCTGAGGAATTGGTTACTGTAATGGATCCTGAGGGTCTATCACAAGCTGAAATGCCGTCATTTGAAAGCCGCATCAGCCTATACAACTCTAAGTGCCTAACTGTGCTGAATAACCATGCTCCTCTCCTCACAAAGGAAATCAAAGAACGTAAGTCTGCCCCTTGGTTCGATGGTGAATATAAAGCACTTAGAAGCCAAAGAAGAAAAGCCGAGACAAAGTGGAAAATCTCCGGATCTTTAACTGACAAGAAACACTATGAATCAATCAGAGAGCAGTGCACAGAACTCTCAGACAGGAAGAAACATGAGTTTTTCAAAGTCGAATTCATAAAGCATTCCTATTCTTCTAAGAGTCTTTTTAGATTTGTGGACACCTTTCTTGATCGGGATAAAAGCATTGTGTTGCCTTCGTCGGAGTCTCTCAAGGACACAGTCGAAAACTTTAACGTATATTTTCAGGAGAAAATAAAGGCAATACGAAATAACTTTGATCATGTGGAGTCTGACGATCAAACGCCCTCTTACTGCGGAGAAAAACTAGCTGAGTTCTCTCCAACTACTCTAGAAGAACTAGAGGAGATAATCAAGGCATCTGAGATCAAGTCTTCTTCAATTGACCCTCTACCTGCAAACATCTTTAAAGAAAACCTTGAGGTTCTACTACCCGTCTTAGTTGACATAGTAAATGCTTCATTATCTTCTGGCAGTATTGATGGCGCTAAACTAGCTCATATCACACCCCTGATCAAGGGCCAGGGATTAGATAGTGATAATCTCAAGAATTACAGACCAATATCTAATCTTAGTTTTGTGGGCAAGTTGATAGAAAGAGTAGTCCTCAGGCGTCTAAATGAACATCTCGAAAACAACAACCTGAACATCCCACAGCAGTCTGGATACAAATCAAAACACAGCACCGAGACTCTGCTTGTGAGAGTTGTTAACGATCTACTCATTGCATCTACAGAAAGCAAGGCAACTGTTGTTCTTCTCCTAGATCTCAGCGCAGCTTTTGATACAGTTGACCACTGCAAACTACTGAACATCCTCAGAAATGAGTTGGGAATAACAGGGACAGCTTGGAAATGGTTCAGCAGCTTCCTCACAGGTAGATGTCAAACGATTAAAGTTGGAAATGAGGAATCTTATGAGATAGTGATTAAGTTTGGAGTCCCACAAGGCTCTGTGCTGGGTCCGGTCCTGTTCAACATCTACATTCGCTCTTTGTACTCAGCAGCACATGATTTGAACTTCTCCATCCAGGGTTACGCCGACGATCATCAGCTGTATAAAAGTTTCAAGCCAAACGAGGAGCCCACCGTCCTTATCAACGATGTTCCCAAATGTTTCCAAGAAATTAATGACTGGATGAAAAAACATTATCTACAGCTCAATGCAGGAAAAACTGAGATTCTTGTCTTTGGGACACCGCTTGTTCTCCAGCAGCTGTCCATAGGGGGCGTGTTTGTTAACTCTGAGACGTGTGTCAGGCTGTCACCTGTTGCAAAGAACCTCGGATTTCGTCTCGACTCTCAACTAAACTTTGGTGAGCAAATCAAGCAACTTAAAACATCGTGTTTTCTGAAACTAAGAGACCTTGCTAAGATGAAAACTTTCCTCACAACCAAACAGATGGGAACACTGACTCAAGCAATTGTAATCTCATCGCTTGACTACTGCAATGCACTTTACTACGGTTGTAGTCAAGCCTCAATTACGCAGCTGCAGAACATTCAGAACCGAGCATGCCGTCTGGTTTTTGGATTAAAGAAGAGAGACTCAGTCGAGGAGAAGCTCAAATCCCTTCATTGGCTCAAGGTGAAGGAGAGGATTGAGTTTAAGTTATGCTTACTGATTTTCGAAGCAGTCAATGGTGTTGCTCCTGCATATCTGTGTGATCTAGTAACATTTGTTAGTTCGAGTAGCAGAAGAACTTCCTCCTTACACCTACCCGTCGGATCTACAAGATCACACCCAAGAGCATTTCAGACTGTTGCTCCGAAAATCTGGAACCAACTACCAATTGAAATTAAGACTTGTTCCGATGTTGATCTGTTCAAAACATTATTAAAAACTCACCTGTTTAAGAAAAGTTATGGCATGAGCGATTAATTGACAATATAATAACTTTATGTTATTTGCTTAAACTGTTTAGGATGCAACCTAATGTCATGATCTTTTTGAACTTATTAGCAATTAGACTGTTAGCTCGCTTCACAAGCATGTCATCTTCGTTCCAAAACTTTTTATGTCCTATGCATACACTCCTTGATAATTATCTTGATCTAGCATCTTTGTTTCACACAATAGAGCATAAGTTTTGTGGTTTATCCACTGGGCTTAGAGTTTGTGTTTAAGCTACCAAATTTTATTATTATTATTTATTACTAGTAAAATTAGTGGGCCTGGTGGGTATTAATTCCAGGCTTCCCCTCGCCCCAGATATGGCTTCCATTGTTAATCTGTGCACAAATCCGCAATCTCCGTGACAAAATCTGCGCTGGACTCCTCGGTTTGGAGGCGACATATTTAAAAAGAAAAAGAAAGAAATAAAGAATTTTACATATTATAAGGATTCAAATTTTTCATATGGAAGTCCTATATTTTGTTGCCATAAAAATGTGAAGCCTTACGACCATTTTCCTGCCAATGGAATCCAGTGAACTGTGAACTATACGGATCATTAATTTCTCTGAGTCACTAATCTCTTTCACATACTTACTGATATATTCAGTCGTACTTGAACATAATTACGAAATTTTACCCACACACTATCTATGAAAAGGTATTATATAGATATAGTGGCATTGTGCTGTATAAAAGGTAAATGTTTAATTTTATCCACTCAGATCTATATTCAGCACAATTACCCTCACAATCTGCGTTTCAGTTGACACAGACGTACAACACACAACAAGTTCGCACGTGGTTACTGGATCACATGCACGCTAACCCCTTTACCAGTAAGCGGTGTCTGATGCACGGTAAAACAGTCTATCAGAAACCTGGGAGACCACTCCGGAGATCTTCAGATATCAGTCTCGAGTAAGTAACTAGTAGTGTAACTATGGTTACTAGTTGTGAAACCAGGGAGACCCCTCAGGAGATCTTCAGATATCAGTCTCGAGTAAGTAACTAGTAGTGTAACTATGGTTACTAGTTGTGAAACCAGGGAGACCGCTCAGGAGATCTTCAGATATCTGTCTCGAGTAAGTAACTAGTAGTGTAACTATGGTAACTAGTTGTGAAACCAGGGAGACCGCTCAGGAGATCTTCAGATATCTGTCTCGAGTAAGTAACTAGTAGTGTAACTATGGTAACTAGTTGTGAAACCAGGGAGACCGCTCAGGAGATCTTCAGATATCTGTCTCGAGTATGTGCTGTGAAGTGTGCAGTGATCATGATATAATATGGCACATGGGTTATGATTTAAGGCACATGATTTTAAGACCCTATTTTTTAGGGCACATGATTTTCCTGTGAAGACTGTGAATTACAACTTTGAGTAGAAATTTAATTTCACTCTTTCCATCAATATATTTTGTTGGTACATCTTATTGTAAGATTCACAAACAAATCAGCAGTGAACTTTCAAGCACATCCCTACCTTTATTTCCCTACTTTTATTTTCTAAACCTACATATCGTATATATCATATAACGTTGAAAAGGACTTTGAGGGGGTCTGTAGCATAGTATGTTTGTGTTTCACTGATTTGTAAACTGAAGACGTAAATACAGCTAACAAACCATATCTCCCTAGGAACGGGTCCTCCAACACCCTGACACGGTGCAGGATAACAGTAAACAGTAGCTAACAAACCATCTCTCCCTAGGAACGGGTCCTCCAACACCCTGACACGGTGCAGGATAACAGTAAACAGTAGCTAACAAACCTCTCCCTAGGAACGGGTCCTCCAACACCCTGACACGGTGCAGGATAACAGTAAACAGTAGCTAACAAACCATCCCTCCCTAGGAACGGGTCCTCCAACACCCTGACACGGTGCAGGATAACAGTAAACAGTAGCTAACAAACCATCTCTCCCTAGGAACGGGTCCTCCAACACCCTGACACGGTGCAGGATAACAGTAAACAGTAGCTAACAAACCATCTCTCCCTAGGAACGGGTCCTCCAACACCCTGACACGGTGCAGGATAACAGTAAACAGTAGCTAACAAACCTCTCCCTAGGAACGGGTCCTCCAACACCCTGACACGGTGCAGGATAACAGTAAACAGTAGCTAACAAACCATCCCTCCCTAGGAACGGGTCCTCCAACACCCTGACACGGTGCAGGATAACAGTAAACACTACTAGTTACTATAGTTACACTTCATATATAGCTAACAAACCATCTCTCCCTAGGAACGGGTCCTCCAACACCCTGACACGGTGCAGGATAACAGTAAACACTACTAGTTACTATAGTTACACTTCATATATAGCTAACAAACCATCTCTCCCTAGGAACGGGTCCTCCAACACCCTGACACGGTGCAGGATAACAGTAAACGACCACGAAACACCCAAAGAACACCGGCTACTTGCCATGCAGTACGTTTCCCGCCAAATCTCGGTCCTGAGCCCTGAAACACTGCTGAACCACCGTGTCCACGTGACCCATTGTAATGACGCCTCTATCTACCTGCTGTCCTCTATGAAGTGTGTATCTGTGAAGCAGTGTTCTAGGACTACCCTGGTTACTGGACCTGTAGCTGGGACTTTGTACCTGACTGGGTGTATTAATATGAGGATTATCTCTATCGCTAGACGTGTGGTGCTCAGGTAGATTTGTGTTCTATTTTCTTTTTAGTAGAGCTGATTGTTGATTATGTATTTCTGTAACATTGGTTTAGCCGAGTAAGGTAAGTTTGTCCTGTAATAACGGTAAACAAATTAAAGTTACAACCAAGAGAAATTAGAAAAACCCTATTTCTTCTTGAGCCAGTGCAGTGGTAAAGAACATCTTGAGCGTTTTTCCAAGACATTTAAAAGTTTCGGTCTTGTAATGGCTTAAGGTGAAAGGACAATGAGTATACAATTCTCTTCAATATCATTTTTATCCCCCTACAGTTCTTGGGAATAGAAGTTTGACTGTATTTTGACTTTCGCTTTCCGACACAATGCGCATCCTGATATATAAATAAAGTTAAGGAAACAGATTGTAGTTCCGCAGATTTGCTGGTCATTAACTTCTACAAAAATAGAAATATTTGAGCTACTCAAAGTCCACATATCATCATAATATTATAGTTATAGTATTCAACATAAATGTCATGTGCTACGAACTAAAACCTATGAAAGTGCAGTGTGACTTACAGTCGTGTGTCACATGACCCGTAACATGAGTATTAAAACAGAGTCGGTAAACAAAAGACGAAATGACTAACTATAATAGTTTTATTTCTGAAGAAAGTGACTTGTCAATAACATCTTGTAATACTATTTATCGTTATCAGAGGAACACAATTTATAACAATGATTATATTACATGTTAACGATATTTTATCAATAAATACGAACAGCAACAGAAGGATATATATCCCCAGGAACTGTCACAGTTGTAAGCTCTACATCCTGACCCCTACCCTCCCCAGGAACTGTCACAGTTGTAAGCTCTACATCCTGACCCCTACCCTCCCCAGGAACTGTCACAGTTGTAAGCTCTACATCCTGACCCCTACCCTCCCCAGGAACTGTCACAGTTGTAAGCTCTACATCCTGACCCCTACCCTCCCCAGGAACTGTCACAGTTGTAAGCTCTACATCCTGACCCCTACCCTCCCCAGGAACTGTCACAGTTGTAAGCTCTACATCCTGACCCCTACCCTCCCCAGGAACTGTCACAGTTGTAAGCTCTACATCCTGACCCCTACCCTCCCCAGGAACTGTCACAGTTGTAAGCTCTACATCCTGACCCCTACCCTCCCCAGGAACTGTCACAGTTGTAAGCTCTACATCCTGACCCCTACCCTCCCCAGGAACTGTCACAGTTGTAAGCTCTACATCCTGACCCCTACCCTCCCCAGGAACTGTCACAGTTGTAAGCTCTACATCCTGACCCCTACCCTCCCCAGGAACTGTCATAGTTGTAAGCTCTACATCCTGACCCCTACCCTCCCCAGGAACTGTCACAGTTGTAAGCTCTACATCCTTGATCCAGACCCCTACCCTCCCCAGGAACTGTCACAGTTGTAAGCTCTACATCCTGACCCCTACCCTCCCCAGGAAGTGTCACAGTTGTAAGCTCTACATCCTGACCCCTACCCTCCCCAGGAAGTGTCACAGTTGTAAGCTCTACATCCTGACCCCTACCCTCCCCAGGAACTGTCACAGTTGTAAGCTCTACATCCTGACCCCTACCCTCCCCAGGAACTGTCACAGTTGTAAGCTCTACATCCTGACCCCTACCCTCCCAAGGAACTGTCACAGTTGTAGGCTCTACATCCTGACCCCTACCCTCCCCAGGAACTGTCACAGTTGTAAGCTCTACATCCTGACCCCTACCCTCCCCAGGAACTGTCACAGTTGTAAGCTCTACATCCTGACCCCTACCCTCCCCAGGAACTGTCACAGTTGTAAGCTCTACATCCTGACCCCTACCCTCCCCAGGAACTGTCACAGTTGTAAGCTCTACATCCTGACCCCTACCCTCCCCAGGAACTGTCACAGTTGTAAGCTCTACATCCTGACCCCTACCCTCCCCAGGAACTGTCACAGTTGTAGGCTCTACATCCTGACCCCTACCCTCCCCAGGAACTGTCACAGTTGTAAGCTCTACATCCTGACCCCTACCCTCCCCAGGAACTGTCACAGTTGTAAGCTCTACATCCTGACCCCTACCCTCCCCAGGAACTATCACAGTTGTAAGCTCTACATCCTGACCCCTACCCTCCCCAGGAACTGTCACAGTTGTAAGCTCTACATCCTGACCCCTACCCTCCCCAGGAACTGTCACAGTTGTAAGCTCTGCATCCTGACCCCTACCCTCCCCAGGAACTGTCACAGTTGTAAGCTCTACATCCTGACCCCTACCCTCCCCAGGAACTGTCACAGTTGTAAGCTCTGCATCCTGACCCCTACCCTCCCCAGGAACTGTCACAGTTGTAAGCTGTACATCCTGACCCCTACCCTCCCCAGGAACTGTCACAGTTGTAAGCTCTACATCCTGACCCCTACCCTCCCCAGGAACTGTCACAGTTGTAAGCTCTACATCCTGACCCCTACCCTCCCCAGGAACTGTCACAGTTGTAAGCTCTACATCCTGACCCCTACCCTCCCCAGGAACTGTCACAGTTGTAAGCTCTACATCCTGACCCCTACCCTCCCCAGGAACTGTCACAGTTGTAAGCTCTACATCCTGACCCCTACCCTCCCCAGGAACTGTCACAGTTGTAAGCTCTACATCCTGACCCCTACCCTCCCCAGGAAGTGTCACAGTTGTAAGCTCTACATCCTGACCCCTACCCTCCCCAGGAACTGTCACAGTTGTAAGCTCTACATCCTGACCCCTACCCTCCCCAGGAACTGTCACAGTTGTAAGCTCTACATCCTGACCCCTACCCTCCCCAGGAACTGTCACAGTTGTAAGCACTACATCCTGACCCCTACCCTCCCCAGGAACTGTCACAGTTGTAAGCTCTACATCCTGACCCCTACCCTCCCCAGGAACTGTCACAGTTGTAAGCTCTACATCCTGACCCCTACCCTCCCCAGGAACTGTCACAGTTGTAAGCTCTACATCCTGACCCCTACCCTCCCCAGGAACTGTCACAGTTGTAAGCTCTACATCCTGACCCCTACCCTCCCCAGGAACTGTCACAGTTGTAAGCTCTACATCCTGACCCCTACCCTCCCCAGGAACTGTCACAGTTGTAAGCTCTACATCCTGACCCCTACCCTCCCCAGGAACTGTCACAGTTGTAAGCTCTACATCCTGACCCCTACCCTCCCCAGGAACTGTCACAGTTGTAAGCTCTACATCCTGACCCCTACCCTCCCCAGGAACTGTCACAGTTGTAAGCTCTACATCCTGACCCCTACCCTCCCCAGGAACTGTCACAGTTGTAAGCTCTACATCCTGACCCCTACCCTCCCCAGGAACTATCACAGTTGTAAGCTCTACATCCTGACCCCTACCCTCCCCAGGAACTGTCACAGTTGTAAGCTCTACATCCTGACCCCTACCCTCCCCAGGAAGTGTCACAGTTGTAAGCTCTACATCCTGACCCCTACCCTCCCCAGAAACTGTCACAGTTGTAAGCTCTACATCCTGACCCCTACCCTCCCCAGGAACTGTCACAGTTGTAAGCTCTACATCCTGACCCCTACCCTCCCCAGGAACTGTCACAGTTGTAAGCTCTACATCCTGACCCCTACCCTCCCCAGGAACTGTCACAGTTGTAAGCTGTACATCCTGACCCCTACCCTCCCCAGGAACTGTCACAGTTGTAAGCTCTACATCCTGACCCCTACCCTCCCCAGGAACTGTCACAGTTGTAAGCTCTACATCCTGACCCCTACCCTGGCCCTCCCCAGGAACTGTCACAGGATTAAGCTCTACATCCTGACCCCTACCCTCCCCAGGAACTGTCACAGTTGTAAGCTCTACATCCTGACCCCTACCCTCCCCAGGAAGTGTCACAGTTGTAAGCTCTACATCCTGACCCCTACCCTCCCCAGGAACTGTCACAGTTGTAAGCTCTACATCCTGACCCCTACCCTCCCCAGGAACTGTCACAGTTGTAAGCTCTACATCCTGACCCCTACCCTCCCCAGGAACTGTCACAGTTGTAAGCTCTACATCCTGACCCCTACCCTCCCCAGGAACTGTCACAGTTGTAAGCTCTACATCCTGACCCCTACCCTCCCCAGGAACTGTCACAGTTGTAAGCTCTACATCCTGACCCCTACCCTCCCCAGGAACTGTCACAGTTGTAAGCTCTACATCCTGACCCCTACCCTCCCTAGGAACTGTCACAGTTGTAAGCTCTACATCCTGACCCCTACCCTCCCCAGGAACTGTCACAGTTGTAAGCTCTACATCCTGACCCCTACCCTCCCCAGGAACTGTCACAGTTGTAAGCTCTACATCCTGACCCCTACCCTCCCCAGGAACTGTCACAGTTGTAAGCTCTACATCCTGACCCCTACCCTCCCCAGGAACTGTCACAGTTGTAAGCTCTACATCCTGACCCCTACCCTCCCCAGGAACTGTCACAGTTGTAAGCTCTACATCCTGACCCCTACCCTCCCCAGGAACTGTCACAGTTGTAAGCTCTACATCCTGACCCCTACCCTCCCCAGGAAGTGTCACAGTTGTAAGCTCTACATCCTGACCCCTACCCTCCCCAGGAACTGTCACAGTTGTAAGCTCTACATCCTGACCCCTACCCTCCCCAGGAACTGTCACAGTTGTAAGCTCTACATCCTGACCCCAACCCTCCCCAGGAACTGTCACAGTTGTAAGCTCTACATCCTGACCCCTATCCTCCCCAGGAACTGTCACAGTTGTAAGCTCTACATCCTTGATCCAGACCCCTACCCTCCCCAGGAACTGTCACAGTTGTAAACTCTACATCCTGACCCCTACCCTCCCCAGGAACTGTCACAGTTGTAAGCTCTACATCCTGACCCCTACCCTCCCCAGGAACTGTCACAGTTGTAAGCTCTACATCCTGATCCCTACCCTCCCCAGGAACTGTCACAGTTGTAAGCTCTACATCCTGACCCCTACCCTCCCCAGGAACTGTCACAGTTGTAAGCTCTACATCCTGACCCCTACCCTCCCCAGGAACTGTCACAGTTGTAAGCTCTACATCCTGACCCCTACCCTCCCCAGGAACTGTCACAGTTGTAAGCTCTACATCCTGACCCCTACCCTCCCCAGGAACTGTCACAGTTGTAAGCTCTACATCCTGACCCCTACCCTCCCCAGGAACTGTCACAGTTGTAAGCTCTACATCCTGACCCCTACCCTCCCCAGGAACTGTCACAGTTGTAAGCTCTACATCCTGATCCCTACCCTCCCCAGGAACTGTCACAGTTGTAAGCTCTACATCCTGACCCCTACCCTCCCCAGGAACTGTCACAGTTGTAAGCTCTACATCCTGACCCCTACCCTCCCCAGGAACTGTCACAGTTGTAAGCTCTACATCCTGACCCCTACCCTCCCCAGGATCTGTCACAGTTGTAAGCTCTACATCCTGACCCCTACCCTCCCCAGGAACTGTCACAGTTGTAAGCTCTACATCCTGACCCCTACCCTCCCCAGGAACTGTCACAGTTGTAAGCTCTACATCCTGACCCCTACCCTCCCCAGGAACTGTCACAGTTGTAAGCTCTACATCCTGACCCCTACCCTCCCCAGGAACTGTCACAGTTGTAAGCTCTACATCCTGACCCCTACCCTCCCCAGGAACTGTCACAGTTGTAAGCTCTACATCCTGACCCCTACCCTCCCCAGGAACTGTCACAGTTGTAAGCTCTACATCCTGACCCCTACCCTCCCCAGGAACTGTCACAGTTGTAAGCTCTACATCCTGACCCCTACCCTCCCCAGGAACTGTCACAGTTGTAAGCTCTACATCCTGACCCCTACCCTCCCCAGGAACTGTCACAGTTGTAAGCTCTACATCCTGATCCCTACCCTCCCCAGGAACTGTCACAGTTGTAAGCTCTACATCCTGACCCCTACCCTCCCCAGGAACTGTCACAGTTGTAAGCTCTACATCCTGACCCCTACCCTCCCCAGGAACTGTCACAGTTGTAAGCTCTACATCCTGACCCCTACCCTCCCCAGGAACTGTCACAGTTGTAAGCTCTACATCCTGACCCCTACCCTCCCCAGGAACTGTCACAGTTGTAAGCTCTACATCCTGACCCCTACCCTCCCCAGGAACTGTCACAGTTGTAAGCTCTACATCCTGACCCCTACCCTCCCCAGGAACTGTCACAGTTGTAAGCTCTACATCCTGACCCCTACCCTCCCCAGGAACTGTCACAGTTGTAAGCTCTACATCCTGATCCCTACCCTCCCCAGGAACTGTCACAGTTGTAAGCTCTACATCCTGACCCCTACCCTCCCCAGGAACTGTCACAGTTGTAAGCTCTACATCCTGACCCCTACCCTCCCCAGGAACTGTCACAGTTGTAAGCTCTACATCCTGACCCCTACCCTCCCCAGGAACTGTCACAGTTGTAAGCTCTACATCCTGACCCCTACCCTCCCCAGGAACTGTCACAGTTGTAAGCTCTACATCCTGACCCTTACCCTCCCCAGGAACTGTCACAGTTGTAAGCTCTACATCCTGACCCCTACCCTCCCCAGGAAGTGTCACAGTTGTAAGCTCTACATCCTGACCCCTACCCTCCCCAGGAACTGTCACAGTTGTAAGCTCTACATCCTGACCCCTACCCTCCCCAGGAACTGTCACAGTTGTAAGCTCTACATCCTGACCCCTACCCTCCCCAGGAACTGTCACAGTTGTAAGCTCTACATCCTGACCCCTACCCTCCCCAGGAACTGTCACAGTTGTAAGCTCTACATCCTGACCCTTACCCTCCCCAGGAACTGTCACAGTTGTAAGCTCTACATCCTGACCCCTACCCTCCCCAGGAACTGTCACAGTTGTAAGCTCTACATCCTGACCCCTACCCTCCCCAGGAACTGTCACAGTTGTAAGCTCTACATCCTGACCCCTACCCTCCCCAGGAACTGTCACAGTTGTAAACTCTACATCCTGACCCCTACCCTCCCCAGGAACTGTCACAGTTGTAAGCTCTACATCCTGACCCCTACCCTCCCCAGGAACTGTCACAGTTGTAAGCTCTACATCCTGACCCCTACCCTCCCCAGGAACTGTCACAGTTGTAAGCTCTACATCCTGACCCCTACCCTCCCCAGGAACTGTCACAGTTGTAAGCTCTACATCCTGACCCCTACCCGACCTCTCCTACTGGCAGGTTGTAACGATATCACCCTGGCTCCGTACAACACTTATTACAGAGGATTAGCAGGACATCTGTCTCACGCCACCTTCAGTGTGGTTAAGAACTTCTGGGATCAGCCCGCCTCCCCCATGTGCCTGGATGGTGGGTCTCTTCTAGGTGACGTACTTTTAATCTAAGTAATTTACCTGATAGTTAATTTCTAAGTAATTTAGATCTGATCTCGTGATATAGAGCTGATCTCGTGATATAGAGCTGATGACGTGATATAGAGCTGATGACGTGATATAGATCTGATCACGTGATATACAGCTAATCACGTGTTATAGAGCTGATCACGTGTTACAGAGCTGATCACGTGATATAGATCTGATCATGTGTTACAGAGCTGATCACGTGATATAGATCTGATCACGTGTTATAGAGCTGATCACGTGTTACAGAGCTGATCACGTGTTATAGAGCTGATCACGTGATATAGATCTGATCATGTGTTACAGAGCTGATCACGTGTTATAGAGCTGATCACGTGTTACAGAGCTGATCACGTGTTATAGAGCTGATCACGTGATAAATGATGAATGTGTAACACGTGATGATCAGGTGACAGTGGTAAAGTGTACCAGAAACTCCCTCCAGAACAGTTCCACCTCTTCTCCATTCCCTTTAACACGGAGGGCACCACTACGGTACGTTTTCTTCCCTTGTTCAACTTAAATATTCGAGTTTGTATTGTGCGTTGAGAATTGTATGCGAGTACTACACGACAGTGTACTCCACTACAATGTACTGTACTGCACTACAGTGTACTTTATTACACAGTGCTTTGCTGTATTTGTTATTGTCCTTTGGTACATGTTCATCTCCAAATAAGGACAGCAGATTAACATAACACTTATTTCACACGTAAACCATTCATAGGGCCTGGTGAACAAGTTACCTCCCGAATACGAAGAAGGCACGATGCGCGCACGTGACCGCGTCAACAAGTGGTACGACAACGTGCAGAAATGCGAGTTGTCAGAAACACAAACGGTGCAACTAGCCGCCACCTTGCAGGCCCGCTTCCATGACTGGCTCGAAACCACCGGTCATCATAAGGAGTTGGAGGCCTTGATCAGACTGCGTGATAAATCTTAGATAATCAGATAGAATTAACTTGATAAGTGTAAATAGTTTGTTATTATTATAATGCTTTATTATGGGAAAATTTATAGATTAGGCAATATATTTGACTTATTAGTAGTATAGTATTACCGTGGTTTGGTAATCATTTTGTATAAATTTCTATGTTTTAGGTTGTAGTTGTTATATTTAATACTGATATGAGGCAGTTTTACATGACATATAATCATAATAAGGTTACATAACCAACATTTTGTAGCCATTTAAGTAAAGATACTCAATAAATTTAGGTTTTGGCTTTGTACAGAGTGATGTCAAAGGTCAACCTTTGAAAGGTGACATATTTGGATTTTTGCATTCGTTTTTTTTATGGCAAGCTTTTTTGCCACTACTTTAATGTTTGATTTATTTAAGCCTATGACACACAGGGTGGACAGAAAGTAATGAAATATCGACATAAACAATATACCAACGCCACTGTGTTCCAACTTTATAAATTACAAAGCCTGACTTCTTAAACCACAAAACCTGAACACAAATACAATATCTGAACACATTTCATTAATTCTAGTCCATCCTGTAGTAATGTGTAGCAGAATATTGTATTTATGTGTTGTATCATTTATCATAAATTGTGACCTGTATAATATAAATATAAAATTGTAATTATTATTAACCCAGTTTACTGTGATATTATTCATCTTTATGTTAAATTATTTATAGTAGATGTAACTTTTTTTGATTCCAGAATAAATTAAAGTTAAGGGGGCAGGGGGGGTCTTCATGGAAATTTTCTCAAAATCGACTTTTTAGTTGTTTCTGATAGAGGGGAGTGATATCTATCAGATGCTTTTAATCCGATAGAAAAATATTGTTCCTTGCCGAAATTATCGCCGGTAAAAGGTCAGCGCTTGTGTGTAATTGTATTGCGCGAGCGATTTTTGATCGCGTGCCCTGAAAATCGAGTCTAAAAATCTATCTTCTCCTACATTTTTTGAGCAATCACCCTCAAACTTTCAGGATATGTTCTAGGGATCATTTAGAAGAGATTGTCCGGGCAAAATTTTGAGATAGGCCTTTAAACATTTTTTATTCGATTTTAAAAATCTTGGACCTCGAAAAATCGTCAAAAAACCAGGTCCAAGACTTTCAAAATCGAATAAAAAATGTTTAAAGGCCTATCTCAAAATTTTGCCCGGACAATCTCTTCTAAATGATCCCTAGAACATATCCTGAAAGTTTGAGGGTGATTGCTCAAAAAATGTAGGAGGAGATAGATTTTTAGACTCGATTTTCAGGGCAAGCGATCAAAAATCGCTCGCGCAATACAATTACACACAAGCGCTGACCTTCTACCGGCGATAATTTCTGATAGGAACAATATTTTTCTATCGGATTAAAAGCATCTGATAGATATCACTCTCATCTATCAGAAACAGCTAAAAAGTCGATTTTGAGAAAATTTCCATGAAGACCCCCCCCTGCCCCCTTAAGTTTAAGGAATAACTAAATATCCTGTCACAATTGACTTCAGACCAACCAAAAGACTTTTCGTAAACCCAGTTTCATAGATAAAATAATTACTTTATTACCTAATTACCTAATTATCTAATTACTAATTAACCGCTCACTCCAATTAGGGTATGAGTTTGTACGCGCGGTTAGGAGCCACCAGACCAGCTGTAACAGAGATATCCGACTTTACAGACCCTACTACTGGGGAGACAGTTGATGTGAAGCGGAGTGATTTTATCCACGATAGCAGTGGGAAAAGAGGCGAGTCAAGCTGGGGCACTGTTTATGAAGCTGAATACAGAGATGACCGTTATGCTATCAAAAAGATAGACAGGATAGATTTCGATGACGAAAGCAATCGCCCAAAGCTTGCGTTTAAGAGGGAAATGGACTTTTTGAAGGAAGCAACTGGGTGGAAGTGCCCAAATATAGTTCGGTTTCATGGCTACATTCAGTTTTCCAAATCAGCCTGGCTGATCCTAGATCTTATGGACAAAGACTTATTAGAAATCATGCGCAGAGATAACTTCTATTCAGATTTAGCAAGGTTGAATGTTGAAGAGCGAACTTGTTTAGGATACATGATGCTGAGAGACATTAGCAATGGATTACGGTTGGCTCACGGGGCCTATCGTCAGGGTAGAGCGTACATGCACCGAGACATCAAACCAAACAACATCATGGTGAAATGCAAGGAACGGCGGCTGGCCATCATCGACTTCGGTTCTACCAAAGAAATATCCAAGGAAGAACTTAAGATCCACTCAGTTGCGGCCGGTCATCAACTGTATCTTGCACCCGAATGTATGGTGGGTCCTGCCACTTATAATGAGTTAGTTGATATCTGGTCTCTGGGGATTACCATCATTCGTTTCTTTTCTGGAAAGCACCCGATATACGATGACAGTGCCGACCAAGCCTCTTCCAGCAACGACCATCAGAAAAATTGTGAAATATACTGTAGAATCCTTGGTGAGGATATCGATGGTGATAAATACGACTGGCCTATTCAGCTAGTTTCAGATGAACTGGATCAAGACTTCACAAGACTAATTAACCGGTGTGTTGATAGGGTTCCATCTCAGCGCCCCTCTGCTCAGGATATCTACAATATTGCTTCACCAGTAGTCAATCGAATGGATCCTAATCTTGCTGTTAGCTTGTTTGACAAGTTTTTTTGTAGCTAATAGCAAAAGATCTTAAACTCAGATTAATTAATCCTCAGAAGAGATATTTCAAGCGATTTTTTAAAGCTCTGTTTCATTTGATGACCGGGAAGTTGGTGAAGTAAAGAAAAACTGATTGAGTGAGTGTTGAATGGTAAATTAAATATTGTTTGTCTTTTGAGTTATTAATTATGTGGCAAGATGTTTGGATGAATTGTTATTTTAACTGTTTTTTATACGTTTTAACGGTTTATCAGCTTTCAGATCAAGTAAGTTTTGATTTTGTACTTTATGGGTTATATGGTTAGGCTCGGGAATCGGGATGTACGACATTTATTAGTTTATTAACAGTTACAGTGACGACATGATTAATGGCATTCAGCCATGCACCGTGCAATATACCTTTCTTATACATCTTCTCTCGCACAGGAATAGTTAAAGTTGGCAATTATTCCGTTAATTATACTGTTAATAGTCGTTGAAAGAAGCTTGTCAAGAGAGATGACGTTACTTTAGAATAAATAAAAAATATGTGTCTAACATTCCCATTCTTAACCAGGTCAATTGTGCGAAAGTTTTTACTCAATCACATTGATTGTAGAAATGTTTGGTTTTTGATAGCGGTATGTTATGTAATAATAAGTTCTTCATATAAATGCAACTCAGTTTCTTAGTCTTTGTAAATAGCCACTGTAGAGTGTATATGTTCTTATTATATAATATTTTTATGGTTTTAAATTGACAATGTCGGTAAGATTTTTGTGTTTTCCAAAATCTAGAATTTCTATCGAGTTTCTTGTCGTATTACTTTGAAAACTGGTACTAAACATTCAATTTCAACACAGTTTTCAATTTCTCATGTTCTTGTATTACATTATTATGTATTATGTAAGTATTCTGACCAATCAACACAATGTAGGGGAGAATGAAAAGATGTGGCTCCGACCATTTGTAACGACAATGTGAAGCTAACTAACGTGTATATATACACTGTATCTAGATATCCCTAACATGGCCACATCTACCCTTTGGCTACATGCCAGCTTCTCAACCAACCTTTCAAGGAAGAAGAAACTGAAAATAACATTTCCAGACGGTGATTATAAAGAAGCCTTTGATATCCTTTGCAGAACTGTGAATAAGATGTTGAAACATAATCCAGATGCCGAGGTTTTAAAGCCAGAGATGGTGTATAAGCCAGAGGATGAGATGAACGGGGCAGGAAACTCTCTGGAGGATGAAATCGATTTTGAAGGAATGCTTGAGGGGCGTTCTAAAGGGGAGGGAGTCAGAGTAATCGTTACCACGACAGGTTTGTTTAAATAATGTTATTTAATGACAAATCAAAGTTGAATTGTCTCCTTATATTTTGACCAGACATTAAAACCCCTACTAAGAATTAACCCTAAGTCCTAACCGTACAATTCCACTTCAGAAATGGGTAGTTTCGATATGAGATCCTCGTCTGTTGGATCCTCATCACAAATTGCCCCATTGACCCCAGGCTCAATAACCAGGTATGTAGGTTGTGCTCATCACAAATTGCCCCATTGACCCCAGGCTCAATAACCAGGTGTGTAGGTTGTGCTTATTAAACTGAGACTATGTAATACTAATTACTAAATTACGTGAATTAGTAGACAGTTTTTGGCAGTTCCAAATAATTTCTGATTATTCTGATTTTTGCGACAAATGCACTGTTACGTGAATAAGGTTCTCTTTCTATTAACAGATTAAGATCTCAGCGTCAATGAATGATCAATGTAAAACCGTAGCAAGGACATCATTAATATTTGAGTAAATTTGTATTTTCTAAACCTGAAAGTTTTCGGATGAAACTACAATTTTCATAACATATATCTTGCCACCATTTAACTTTAAACTGTAATATTTTCATAACATATATCTTGCCACCATTTAACTTTAAACTGTAATATTTTCATAACATATATCTTGCCACCATTTAACTTTAAACTGTAATATTTTCATAACATATATCTTGCCACCATTTAACTTTAAACTGTAATATTTTCAGATCTGCATCATTCAATTTGAAAAGCATATACGAATCTCTGAGTAAAGCAGCTAAAAAACCTGGTTTAGATTCGTCATATTTTGTAAATCCCCTTACAAATAAAGTTCAAGATGTGCGACTTGTAGATTTTAAATTTGAGGACGGTTCAGCGAGGGGAGGAGATTCCTGTTACGCCAGGGTTTTTGAAGCTACTTATAATGATAACCGCTTTGCTATCAAGAAAATTGATGGGATATTAATGGACTGCGAGAACAATCGACCCGCACTGGCTTTTGAAAGGGAAATGAAGTTCTTAAGAAAAACAACGGATTGGAAGTGCGAAAACATCGTCCAATTTCATGGTTTCATTCGAACTGGTGAAACAGCTCGACTAATTCTGGAGCTGATGGATAAGGACCTGTCGCAAACCATAGAGTCTCTTAAGAGGTCGGGATTATACAACAGAATGGTGGAAGAGAGCAAGGATTTTGAGGATATGGGGTACATTGTCTTAAGAGATGTCAGTAATGGACTGCGTTTCACTCATGGCCACAATCCTGAGAAAGAAATTTTCATGCATCGAGACATAAAATCGTCGAACATCATGTTCAAAAGAGCTGAACACCGATTTGCTATCATTGACTTTGGAACTACCAAAAAGATCACAGGAGAAGAAAATAAGTTGCACTCCGCAGGAGCAGGACAGCGGTACTATGAAGCTCCTGAGTGCACGGAGTTTAAACCAACCTACTGTGAGTCCTGTGACATTTGGTCAATGGGAATCACGTTGATAAAGTTCATAACCGGCAAGCATCCTATCTGGGATGATTCTTCTGAAGAATCATCTTCAAGTGACGAACATATGAGGAACATCAAAAAGGACAATATCATATCTGAAAGAATAACAGGCAAAGGAATGGACGGTGAGAAGATTGATTATCCTATTGGTCTCACCTCTCAATTTCTATCCCAGGAATTTAAAGATATGATCAACTCTTGTGTTAACCGGGATCCAACCGGTCGACCCTCTGCGCAAAATATTCACAATTTTGCCAAAAATAGAGCTGATTCAATCGACCCACTTCGTGTTGAGGAACTTTTTGCCAAATTCTGTGGAAGTCGATAATCTACCACGTGCGAGTGGAAAGAAACCCACCTTAAGATTATTGTTAGGATTAGGTTTAAGGTTATGGTGCCATAATATGGCAGTTTTTGTTTTTCTGTTGGGATAATATCCCACCAAGCTTTGTTTTTGTTCTTGGTCATTGTGAATAATCAAATATTACGTACCAACTGACATAATATGGTTACTATGTAATTTCGTTTTGTTTCGTTATTGGGGCTGATTTATTAACAGCTTTTTTGTTGTCGGCTGATTATATGTTCCGTTTTTAAGAGTGTTCTTTTATTCTTTTTAACACTATATTCTTACACTTTATTTTTTGTACGATTGAAAGACGATGATAGTAAAGCTGAATATCTATTTTAGTTAAATTGATAAGTATTGTTTGTTTTTTATTCATTTTTCAAGCAACCCCAGGCTATTTAATTGATTGTTAGTCGTTCTTCAAATAATGTATTCTTTACATTACAACCATAAGTATTCGTTGAACCCAAAATACATATGTCGTCACAACAACTTGCACTGTATTGCTAGAAAATAGCGTTCAGTTCTGTTAAAAGTAGTTTTGCGCGCACGTACTTATTTTATGCATGCATTGCATATATTATTACGGTTGGTTGATGAGAAAAGTTGCCCCATTAGTCCTGAAACCTTGATGCTTGGTCCCTCATCTCTGGACCCCGGAGATGAAGTCCGGGCCCCTTGGAAAGGTCATAACTCCAATAATATGAGATAAACTCAACTTATTCCCCAGTCCCCTTTCCTGATGCTAAGCGCCACTTTAGATAGGGGGCGCAAAATCGTCGTTTGAATGTGGGACAATTTTGTATCACGTCGTGACCCCCACGGTCGTTTCCTGACGATACAGGCGGGTCATTTTTTAATTTTTTAGAGAGGCTGGGCCAAGATAGCCCACATACGAGAGGATAGCATTAGGTTGCTCTGCCTACCTCTGGGGTGTGGCAACCCTGGGGAAGGTTGCCGGTGAAATCAGAGTGAATGGTGGAGGATGGTGTAAGAAGTGATATGAGTCAAAATGATACGCTTAAATGCCAGCTGGGTTTGGGAAAGTAAAACGAGACGAGACAGCATATGAAATAATAGTTTAAGTCACCCCGGTCTGATCCAGCTCTTCCGGTACAATTAAGCGTTTGGTGCGGGTCATACAAAGTATGACAAAGTCAATTTTGAAAAACTTAACGAGATTATACTGGCGAAACTGCGCGTTTTGATCTAGGAACACACTTTTTTTAACGGGTGATACTCGTAAAATATCTGTTCCATATATTGGACCGTCGACGAGTCCAACTCGGCGCGCGTCCTGGTACGGTAGGTTGTAAACCTACAACAGGATATCAAAAATGTGATCCTCGCCTTAAATGGTAAGAATTTTTTTCCCTACTCTTGCCGAAGGCAAAAAGATCGTTGGGAATAAGTAATCGGGTTTGGATATATGAGGTGGCCCGATGGACCTGCGATGATGACAAAAGTCTGCTCCTTCGAAATATAGACCACTCCCCTAATAATTAAGTGTATAGGAAGCGTCTGTTATGCTGCGCGCGACGCTAGCCATGTGTTAATTAATTACAGTGAAATTCCTCCTTCGCAAAGTTATTTTCCGCAATTTTCTGGATTCATTTATTGTTGATGCGCGGCGCTGCATTGGTCAAATAAATCGTCAATTTTTACCATGCACGAATCCCACTCATTTATAAAAAACATAGTATGTAAATATGGTGCACTTTTTTCCAGTCACACTTTTCACTCAAAAGAATTAATGGTACAAGTACATGGTAGGGAAAATTGATCGTGCGTGGTTTAACCGCGGCGAAATTCTTGTTTGTATAAAATATAACTATGAACTTTGACGAATCTATTCAAACAAGCTTAATAAATCGAGATGCTAGCAATTAACATTTAACGCAATCCTAACTTTTGTTTATGTATAGGTTGTAACTTACAAAACTAAGACATGCTCGTTAATTCATATTTCAGAGGGTTAAAGTTTGAACATAGTTTCCCACGGAGATGATGAAACCTACAGAATCAGGCTAAAGAGAATTAAGATGAATTTGAATTTATAAAAAAGTAAGTTACTTTACAGTTCACATATACAATTTTGTTTCTCGGTATAATTTGTTATGAATTTATTAAAAGTAAGTTACTTTACATAGTCTAAAATAGTAGAATATTTATTACCAAATAGCTCCTATCACTCGGCTGTAGTATAAACAGTAGAAACAGGTCCAGCAAAGATATTATTATTAATTAAAAAAACTAGTCGTAAAATTAAACCTATTCGGTAAACTCTTAGGCCGGACACAAATATTTAGATAATCATGCAATTCAAGCCTAGTCGGTCCATCAGGATTTAACGTTAGATTAAACCTAGCATATCGCCCAACATCGAAATATAATTTAAATTCGCAATATTCTCAAGTTTTGAGTTGCCACGGAATAAGTTGGTTACCAGCAGATATAGCCAAATTGTTGTTGTTGTGATCGGGCAATGAATACGCTCACGTTAATCTTCAGAGAAACTAGGTGACCATTAACTCGATGGTCGATCTTCATTGGGGTGTTTTTTTAGTTTTACTGATTGGGACTTTTACACTGGTGGGAAATCTGAAATAATGTGTTTATAGTGAGAGTAATCCACTGATTCACTGATTGTAGGTTACTAATTCGTAAGTTGTTAGCGGTTCTGTTCTAAATTATTATATTATTATTATATTATTCAATTATTATATTATAACCGTGCGTCCTTCAGTTATTATGTTATTATATTATCATATGGAATATGAGTATCATTTCAAGATATGAAAAATGATTTATCAACCGAAACGTTATCGATTTAAGGAGAAGTGAATGTTCCTAAATAAGATTAATAAAGATTAATATCCTACCCTGAGGGCAACCGTTATCTATCGTGAATTTCTGTACTTCTGTTAACTCGGCTGAAGTTAAAATGTGATTATTGATAAGTCAGGTGAATATTTTTAATACTTTGAGCACCATTAGAGGATGAGAGTAAAAGCAAGGCAAATTTCCAAAGAACAAGGCACACCAAATTAATTCGTACCATTATAGTAAACAATAAAACATTTTTTTACATGAGGTAACCGTACATTTCAATTGCCCTCACCCATTTAGTAGCTACTAATGAAGTTACCAATAGCAGATTGAATTGAAACGGCAAACTTAAACTAATCGCAAATTGGTTTGCTGTCCAACACAAGCTTTCTGCTGGGATAGATCCTAATAATTTCTTAACATGCGCGATGCACGCGCGAACATGTCGTACGGTCGCGGTTAATCTAGTCAGTGTAATAAGCGCCAAGCGCGAGCACAGAATTTTTTTTCTCCGATTGTACAAAATTTTATACCAATGTTTTAGTCAAGATGTAAATAATTTTTATCCACCGGGTAGCAATGTTAGCTCAGCGTTCATCAAGATCGCGATTTTTACGCCGCGCACTCGTAAAACGCATGAAAAAATCGAATTGACGATAGAAATCGAGCGCTATGCGCATATTATTCGCTTTTTCACTGTTATTTTCTGGTTGATTTCATAAACGTTTTAATTTTGTTTGAAACTCTCGAAACCAAGGATTGTCCACTATTTTACTGCAATTATCTACTTGAAGTTTCTTTTGTTTTATCAAACAGTTTAAAGTGGAATATTTTCTGTGCTTGATTATACACTGTAATTACATGATAGGGCCTTGCTAATGTAAATTGGCAATTACAGATCACTTAAGTTTCCAAATTTATCGGTCAGGTTATGACCTATCTTAAAGTTCAACTGCTTGGTTAAATTAAAGCTGGGCACAAATATCATTTTTGCAAAGAATTCATTCAAAGACATTTTAAAGCAAGTAAAGTAAGTAAGTACAGCACCTAGAATATCCTAGAACTTAGAAGTATATTGTTATTCACTTGATCTTTGATTTTATTCTGTGTTTCGGAGTTTTTGTTAAGTAGCAGGGTCCCCTGTGTTTTACTGACCAAATTAAGCCGCAAGTCTATGACTGCCTACCTCATTTTAACTTAATTAAAGAAGTATAGAACTGTATGACGTATGTCTCTCTTACTTTATCCGTTTACCACGTCTGACCGGTTGCCATTTTTCACTCTATGGTTATATACTTCTCTATACATAATTCTGACAGCAAATATAAAAGTGCCAAGTGGGTATCTATGTAATTTTCGTATCATTTTGAATTTAATGGTTACCTTCATACCCAAAGTTTAATGTTAAATCTCACTGTACCATATATTCATTAACTTATAGCTTATAACATATTATATGTTTTGATTTTATGTCCCTATACTAGAAGGGTATTCTTCTAACAGTTTTTGACTGACTTGAATGTCCTGCACAGCAGTTTGAAGCTTCTTTAAATTATTTTTATTCTTATCGTATTGCTGTGTAAATTTAATTCTAATTCTAATTCATTTCTAATTCTCACTTTAATTAATTCTCACTTCGTTACTTTTCATAATGAATGTTTTTGGCACATCAGAATGAGCAAATGAATCGGGAGAAATGCTTCCTCTGACTCTGTCAAGTAAGTACATTATTTCCAATGTATTTGTTGTTTTGATAATCTTTCTTCGCTCTTATGAGTGGGTCAATCCTTTGTTTTGATGATATTGTTGACGAAGTGAGAATCTCCACTCAGTGTTTTGAAAACACTGAGTTGAGATTCTCACCTTGTCTCAGAATAGATAAAGGGAACCATCAGAAAATAATTTGGCTTCGATGGAATGAGAAAATTCGAAACAACTTCTGGCCGGGGTTGGAGACCTGGAACGGTTCAAGGGATCCACCAAAAACAAATCTGGCTTTGGCAGACTTTCTGAATATCTAAACACACACACTCATCTCCACTTCTGATATAACTCGGTTTCTGTTTGGAGTAAGGAGCTAATTTTGGGCATCAGGCTGTTGAGTTATTAGCCCAAGACATATTTTTACGCTCTCGCGAGTAGCAATTACAACAGCTAAAATCAAATTAACTCGGTTTCTGATTGGACTTTGGAGTATAAAAGAGCTAAATTTGGGCATAAAATCATCATATTAAGTAGAGCGTAATTAACTCCTCAGACTTCAGGTTAATCAGTTACTACTGTTATATGACCACACCCTTTTGAGCTCTCGTGAGTAACAATAACAGCACTTACAATCAAAATAACTCAGTTTCTGATTAGAGTAAGGAGCTAAACTTGGGCATTGAAGTGTTCTAAATCATCACATTGAGTAGGTAGAATGTTATTTAAAAATCTCAGACATCAGGTTATTGAGCTATAATAGCCCAAAAACTATTCTTACGCTCTTGCGAGTAGCAATTGCTGCACTTCATACTAACTGTTCATCTTGGACATGAAATTGTTCAAAATTATCATATTAAGTGGGGTAGAGCATGGTTTTAAAGTCAACATGCTTTAGATTGTTGAGTTATTAGTCCATATCCTATTTTACGGATCATCACATTGAGTGTCGTAGAACATGGTATTAAAATCTTCAGACTTTATGCTGTTGCATTTAAGAAAATATATATATTGAAATGTGGTATTTATATCCCGACAACACAAGTAAGGTGGTTAACCATGTCAGAGCGGCTGACTGTGAGTGATGTGAGCAAATGTGTAAAAATGAACAAAAGTATTATAACTCATCATAAGGCAAATAATGTTTTAGATAATTATATTAATATTATAAATCAAAGTCTTATGATATTGTTATTATCTTAACAGTTACTGTTGTAACTTACAATTTTAAATTTATATTCCTTGTATTCCTTGTATTCCTTGTATTCCTTGTATTCCAGTACGTAATATAGGGTGTTAAAGCTGGTATTTCAATATTTGCTCAAGTTTCACAGATATCATCAATTGAGTATTGTGACAAAGTAAACTTATTTGTGCGACTGTATGATATTATCATAATTCCCAGTACTTCCAGATCATCAAGTAATCCTACTGCACTACTCAGCATTCCTTGTCAGGGTGCCCTAAACATTCCTCATATATTTTCTTAAATGCAACAATATAAAGTCTGAAGATTTTAAAACCAAAATTGAGCAAATATTGAAATACCATGGCTTAAACACCCTATATTACGTACTGGAATACAAGGAATACAAGGAATACGAGGAATATAAATTTAAAATCTTAAGTTACAACAGTAACTGTTAAGATGATAACAATATTATAAGGTTTTGATTTATAATATTAAAGGACCAGTTAACTGAAAAAAAAGTTATCCTCATATTTTGACAGATTGTGACAAATAGCAAACTAAGCAACGAGTCGAAATTCCTAAATCTCTAACTGCTCTCTAACGCGTGTAAATAGCGTTTGTATTATTTTGGCGATGACGTCATAAAGTCCCTCTTGCGCGCAGAGTAGCTCGTGAGACTGTATTTTACAGGTAAAAAATGGACATAATACAATCTTTTCCCCCGAATAACTCGAAAAGTAAGTAATTTAGGGTACATGTTGCTTCATAAGTTGTATATAAACATGGCCATTCTGCACAATTTGCACACATTCAAAAACCTTTAGGGCCTTCATAGCCCAATTAACCAGATACCCATAGTTTTGCATGATTTCTGGAACCGAAAATCAGTTTTTCGCCAATAACTGAAAAAGTAAGCACTTTAAGGCATATGTTTGTTCGTAATAGAATGGTGCTTAATAGGATCCAGCCGGCTATAGAGGGGGTACTTAGGGACACTCAGAATGGTTTTCGGGAAGGACGGTCCACTACTAGTCACATCTTGGCACTCAGAAGGATTCTAGAGGGGGCTAGACAAAGAAATTTACCTGTAGCTATGGTGTTTGTTGATTTTAAGAAGGCCTTTGATTCACTTCACCGGGGAATTTTGATGCAAATACTAAAGGCCTATGGAATACCGGACAGTATTGTAGATATCATTAATCTTCTCTATGTCAACACGAAGGGCAAAGTTATAACACCAGATGGGGATACCGAGCTTTTTGATATCCTGGCAGGAGTTCTTCAAGGGGATACATTAGCACCATACTTGTTCATTATAGCCCTTGACTATTGCATGAGACAAGCCTTAAGCAAGCATCCTGAAATAGGATTTACCATTAAGCCTTATCGGAGTAGGAGAGTCAAGGCGGAGAAGATAACAGACACTGGTTTTGCAGATGACATTGCTCTGATAGCAGATACTGTAAAGGAGGCAGAGATGCTGATGCTAGAGGTAGAAAGAGTTGCTGCTACAGTGGGACTTAGAATGAATGAAGGGAAAACCAAATTCATTACTCAGAACATCGAGAACCCTGATACCATCAAGTCCCTGGGTAACAACACAATAGAGCACGTGGAAGACTTTACCTATCTTGGTTCTAGAATCAGAGACAGTGAGAGTGATATCAGGGTTAGGAAAGGAAGAGCATGGGGAGCATGCCACACTCTCAAAAAACTTTGGAAATC